ATTATGGAGCATTAATATTTATCAGCATAAATATTAAGTTTAGCAATAGCTTATATATTGTATTTGACCAATAGCTTACCCTGTATGTGGTACCGGGGATCCACTAGTATAATCTGCCAGGTATGTATATTTCGTAAGTATGTATATATGGCGATGTTGCCTCTACCAGGAGCAGATAGGAAGTGAATGGAAAAGAAAGGACAGAGAAGCAAATAAAACATTGAAGCGGGAAATATCACGCAATGCGACAGGTGTCAGAGGTCAGTTTGTCACTGGTCAAACAGGTATACAACATTCGCAGGGAACCCAAACACCACAAATATATGCTTGTAATTTGCTGGGAAATGGCTTAATATAAGTTAGATAACTTGTGCTCAATCCATTTGCTTGGCAATGAAATATGTTTAAACTAAACTACTTATACATCTGTGAATCATATTCCGTTTATGTTTCCTTATCATTTTTTTCTAGTTTATTTTTCTTTCATTTTTCTTTCGTTTGCTTTCTTCCTAGCATTAGCCCTAATTATTTTTTTCTTACTGTCTTTCCTATCCCATTTCTCCTTTCTTTCTCTCTTTCCTTCTTTCTTCATGTCTGTCGGGTTTTCTTACCCCCTTACATTCTTTTTCTTTTTAGCTTTTCTTTCTTTCTTCCTAAATTCTTTACTAATCCTACTTCTGACATAAGTATGCTGTTTCTTCCGTCCAATGACGTCTGTTTGTCCGTCCTTCCATTCCATCCGAACCATCACACTCACGCCTTGTCATATACTGGTGATACCGGCTTTTCATTCAAATTCATGAGATCACGTGATCAGTTAATCTGTCAATCTAAATGCATACTTTTGGTGTGCTGGCTATTACACAGTGACAGAAGCGATTAGAGTATCGGTGAGTGGACGGTTGGTCGCCGGGAACACAGGGGCATGTGAATTAGATTGGAGCATCGGGAAATGAAAGGCTAGTCTCAGGGAACACAGGGGCGTGAGAATTAGATTGGAGTGTGGGGGAATGGAACGGTGGTCGCAGGTAACACAGGGGTTTTAGAATTAGATAAGAGTATCGGGATATTGAAGAGTGGTCGCAGGGAACACAGTGGCCTGATAATTAGATTTAAAATATCGGGAATGGAGGGGTGGTCACAGGGCACAAAAGGACCTGAGAATTATATAAGAATGTCGAAAATGGGAAGTCGGTTGCAAAGAAAACAGGGGCCAGATAATTAGCTAACATTATCTGGGAATGGAATGGTCGTTTGCTGGGAACACAGGGGCCTGAAGACTGGATTAGGTATCGGAGAATGGAAGGGTGGTCACATGAAGCAGAGGAGCCTGCGAATTAGATTAAAGTATCGGAAAATGGAAGAGTGGTTGGCGGGAACACAGGGGACCGAGGACAAGATTGGAGTAATGGGTAATGCAAGTATGGTTGCAGGGAACACAGGGGCATGTGAATTACCACGCTATGTTGAATGATCACAAGGAACACAGGGGCAATTTTCAATAACACAACAAAAAGCTGAAATGGTCAAAAGCCTGGATATTTACCGATTGTATTGAGAATTGAAGTTGGACACAATAATCACAAGGGCCTGGTAATTAGATGTAAGTATCAGTGAATAAAGGGGTGGTCTCAGGGAACACAGGGGCCTGATAATTAGATTGGAGTATTGGGAAATGGAGGGATGGTCGCAGGGAACACAGAGGCCTGAGAACTACGTTTCAATATCGGGGAATAGAGGGATAGTTGCAGGGAACATGGGGGCCTGAGAACTAGATTGGAGTATCGGGGAAAAGGAAGTTAGTCGCCGGGAGCACAGGGACATGAGAATTTAATTGGAGTACGTAGGAATACAAGGTTGGTCGGCGGAAAGACAGAGGTATGGGGTTGAAGTATCGGGGAATGTAAGGATAGACCGGTCGCAAGGATCACAAGGATCTGAAAATAAGTACGCTGTGTTGAACAATCATAAGTAACACAGGGGCAAGTTAATAACGCAATAAAAAGGTGGGATGGTCAATGTGAGAATTGAAGTGGCGCGCAAGAAGCACAGAGGCATGAGAATAAAAGTATTGTAATAAGACGATGGCTACAGGGACATGGGTATCGACATATAATGTATGATTGTATGTTTTAAGTGCTGGGTAAAGTAAGAGTTGGTTCAGAGGGCTCAGGGACCTGAACATTGAATAGCAGAGACACACAAACCTAAATCACAATATCTAAAATATCAGACTTTAGAACAAGTCATAGTACCACACATTTTCCGCTTTGTTTAATTGATATTCCGGAAGGATCTGGCCCGACTGGCGCTGATTGGTCAATTACACAATCGTTTAATTGGCTAGTCTGTCAGGAATACTTCGTTGTTTATATTCGGAGAGGTGTTCGCGATTAGCTCTTAGTGATAATTTTGGAAGCACACAGTTCGGTGGGGGCATTGAAATCGATTTGTAAACGTTTAATTTAAAAATGAATGGCATTTTATCTAATTAACATGTTGCGGGTCCCTGCTTTTATCTGTGATGTGAGTATAGAGTTAAGAAACACATCAAACTTCTGCTTAAAATATCTTTAATTTCAAAGGTCATTACGAAAACAATAAAAAAAATCAAGATTTTACATTCATAAAAATCATGTTCTTGAACTAGGAAATGATTTTCCTCTTTGAACCATTTAGTTATTTCAGATACTTGTTTTGTCCTGCCTACCTACAATTTAAGGAGCTGTCGTAGTCTCTGCGAGATTACCTGAACGCTAAGCTGTTTCCCAGAGTCAAGACAGTGTTTGAGAATGTGGCACATTGCACCTCTGTAATATTAATTCAGCTTTTTTAGTTTCGTATTTTTTGTTCCGAATGGAAAAAAAACAAGAGTTTCCGAAGACGTTACGGTACTTTAGATGAAGGATGATTACTTGCTGCGGTTACCTGCTGCAGTTCAAGTATTACGCTTTTATTGAAGAAAATGCGGAGTAAAACAGGTAAAAGTGTTTATAATTATATATATGGAAGTGAAAGCATTAAGTAATTGAAGATATTCTCTTATTTTGTTGCATTTATTTGAAAACGAAAGTAGAACACTTTACTTATATAAATCTGTTTATCATCAAAGATAAGTATTACACTTGTATTTACTATCACAGACAGGTATTACGCTTGTATTTAGTATCACAGACAGATATTACACATGTATTTACTATCAGACAGGTGTTACACTTGAATTTACTATCACAGACAGGTATTACACATGTGAGTACTTTGTACTTTAACACACATCTACAGTAGGCAAGTTTACTTCGCTGTACTAAAATACACCTAGCAATAAAACATGCTAATAGCAGTTACAAGAACTAATGGTTTATACACTGTAAACTACTTGTTTTACATCACTGTTTGTTTATATTCTGTATACTATTTGTATCTTTATAAGGATTAAGTCCTGTACATGGCCTGGCGAGGTATATGAGATATAAATCCATGGGTCTTGAGACATAATGAGTTATACAAGAGGCCCATGGGCCTTAACAGTCACCTGAGTCAATAGTATTTATTTTTGTTGTTAAAATATGTAACAATTTGAGTTGTTGAATAGTTAAGTATAATGTTAACTTAACTTTGTCAGGACCATGAGCTGATCATTCCTAGACGGATTTTAAGTGAGATCGGCCTATTAGAACTTGTTTTTAAGTTTGAAATAGGTATTTACAAAATAGCGGCCATGGCAGCCAAATTGTATTTCTGATTGACCCGAAAAATAACAACACTTTGTCAGGACCATGAGTCGATCATTCCTACCAACTTTCAGTTCAATCGCCCCAGCAGAACTTTACTTTAAGTTTGAAATAGTTTTTTAAGATGGCGGCCATGGTGGCCATATTGGATTTCTGATTGACCTGAAAAATAACAACACTTTGTCAGGACCATGA